AGAAGGAAGAATGGGTTTAAAGCCCATGGTGGAAGGGCTATTGAAGGGGGGGTGAAATTTTTGAGCAATCCTTTTAAATATGTTTAGTTTGTTACTTTTTTTAACCCAAGAATTTCTGCCTTGGAAAAGTAAGAGATGCAAAGAAGAAGAAGAAGGAGGAGGAGGGAGTGACAGTTTCTGTTTGTTTGTTTGTTTGTTTTTTTAAAGAACAGAAATTGGATAAAATTTCCTGACTGTAAGAATAATTAATCAGTGGGATAATTTTCTCCAGAAACTGTGGATGTTTCATTATTGGAGGTTTTTTGGAGGAGGTTAGAAATTGATAGGGTCTGAAATGGATAGAGTTTCCTGTTTCAGTAAGGGGTTGGACTAGAGGACCTCTAATATCCCATCCAACTCAGATATTTTGTTTTTGTATGTGTGGCATGCTTCAGTGATTTTTCCTTTGCATTTTAGTTTGGATTTATCTTAATAATGCATTTGAGGGTATTCTTGTCAAAGGAACAATCCTATGATGTTTTATTTAACATCTGATAAATATGTGTCTTTGGGACTACTTGCTACTGCAAAAAAAAAAAAAGATGATTAATTGCTGCATACTGTGTGTGTCCAATTTGTTTTCCTTTTCCTTGGAGCCAAGGAGGGGAAGGGAAATCTTTATAGACAACCAATTTGGTTTCAGGGTTACAGCCATAGGCTGCAAGGCTGGATTTGAGTTCAAATCCTGCTTTAGCCATGAGGGTTGGCTGAGTGTTTTGGGGTTGGTTTATTTTTGCTCAGCCCTAGGAGGGAGGTTTTGGCAAGCCACTTCTGTAAATGTTATGGCAATTTTCCTCCTGAGGGCTTTACAAGCAAAAGTTTTGTATAAATATTTACTCTCTCTGGTTTGGTGATGGGAGAAGGGGGAGACAATCTTTTGTCTTCTTAGCTATCCTGTTTGATGTCTGCCTGAGACAAAAGGCATTCCAGAAATGTTGGCCCAATGCTAATTGGTGAGCCTATGTGCTTTACCTTTTAAAATCCTGAATGTGTTGCTTACAATAGGTTTATTGAGTTATATTTTTGTAACATAGTATCTAATCAGGGTGAAAGGGGGAGGAGAAAGAAAAATGTGACAATTTTTGATAGAGCTTCCATGGACAAATATAGTCTATCTGATACAGGACAAATTATTTTTTTTCTTTCTTTTCTTTCCTCCACTTTTAAGCTGTGGAAGCAAATACATTTTTATGTAGCTTCCCAGTTTTGTAAGATCTTATTCTGGGAATTATAAAAAATGGGAAAGCAACCTTTTGGCAGAAGAAAGGATTGAGGGTGTTTAGCAAATAAAGCCCAATTGGTATGAAAGGAGGTAAAATATCTAGAATATATTATAGTTGATGGGGAAAGGAAAATAGATAGTAAAAGGATTGAGGCTATAGTAGATTTATAATTACCAAACAACAAAAATGGTCTTAAGGGGATTCTGTGGTTATCACAAGGTACTGCAAGAATGGTGATCCAAAAACTATATGAGGGGAATAATTGGGGAATTAAAGCATAGGTAGAAATGTATTTTAAATTCTATGTTACCCTTGGAATTTATGGGATAGCCCAAAGGGCTACAGAGGGATGTTTGATATGTAAAAGGGTTAATAAAGGGTTAAGGCTCCCAAAGGGGGAGACAAATAGCTAAATGTAGAACAAGTACTGGGGTCTCTGTCTTCTCTTTGACAGGAAGGCTTGGTGGCGCAAACAACTCCTTTGGAATTTCCAGT